GAGAGAGAGAGAGAGAGAGAGAGAGAGAGAGTTAGTTAGTTCCATTTCATTTTGATGTTTCCTTGACCAATGACTTCTTTGTCATTTGATGCTTCTCTTAAGTCGAATTGTGATGCCTTTTTCACTTGAAGAGGTATGAAAATTCAACAACTTTTTGAGGATAATTTCAATTTATGTTGTTTTAAGTGTTTGATGGACATCAATTTTTGTATTGGCATTATAGTATGAAATAGCACAGATGTACGTGGTCATGAAAATGCAACAACAGAGCACCACTGGTAATGAAGGGGTGGAGGTTTTACAAAGCAGACCATTCACTGATGCTGAATTCGGGGAGGGGCGATACACGTCCAAAATTTACCGCTTGCAGAGGTAATTTTGAATTGGCATAAGTTTAAACTTGTCTGATATCAATTCATTTCGTGAATTGCTCTATTTTGTTTGATTTGATTTAGTAAGTGGTAGTGGCATTAAGTAACAAAACTAAAAGGTCTTTATTTGCTTGAGAAGTTTGGGATTTTTCTCTTACAGGGGTAGGTAGCCTTTTTGGCTTGATTTAACAATTTGAGCCATAGTTATACCAGAATTGTTAACTGGATGTTCTGGTGATCTTAGAGCGCGTTTGTTTATTATGGAGGCTTTTTTTTTTTTTTTTATTTCCCTCCCCTTTGATCCCCATTTGTTGGAGCTATTGCTCCTTTGGTGACTCGAACCCACGAACCTGGGGTTGTAGGCGGGTGCTGACCATCTGAGCAACCCCCTCTTGTGTATGGAGGCACTAGTTATTCAAAGTTCTTGTGTTGGCATGTTTTGTCCGACTAAGTCAACCTACATTTGCAGCAAAGCTCCAACTTGGTTGACTAAATTTGCATCTCCTAATGCCCTTGTGGTGAGAGAGGAAGCGTGGAATGCTTATCCAAAATGTAGATCAGGTTAGGTTTCATACTTGCAACTCTTACAAGAATATTCGTTTTTAGTTGGCAATACAAGTCTTTGTTATAGTTTTTTACTAACCGATTTACTGGTTTCTGTCTGGAATACGAAATCATCTGATGCAGTTATTAAGGTAATTAACATTCATGACCTTCCGTCAATCCTGCACTTTGTGGAAGTATCTTGTGAGTAGTGCAGTATCAAAGATACTCAGTAGTTCGCTTTTTGCAGTGTCCGGGTTTTTCGAAGTTTATAATGACCGTCGACACCATCCATAAAGCTGATAATGGATACTCTGAAAATGTAAGTTTAATGTACTTGCTATAGTGCTCAATGCAGTTGGAATAATCATGCTAGTGGGAATTGAGCGGTTGCAATTCGTGCCTGAATAGACTAATGACATCAGTTTTCCATCTTTATATATAAAATATTTTTTTATAAAGGTTATTGTGATTGTTTTTATGACATGGACTTAAGAAGCAATGCAAATATAGGTGCACGGTCTGAGCAAGCAACAACTAGCTGCCAGGCAGGTGGAAATTATCGATATTGCTTCAGCTGCAAGTGATTATTGGAGTTACATTGTGGGAAGAAGCACCGTCGATTTGTCTAAGTTCAAATCTGCTAGGACTGGTCGTGGGCCGCTCTTGAAGGGCTGGAAGGTTTGTATTTCTCTTTCAATAACATTAGAGAGCTAGTGTGTCCCATCCCCTTTCTTTGAATGTATAGCTACTCGAACTTGGGTCTCTCTCTCGGGTAGGTTCTTGAGTTTTCAAAAATAGAAACTTACTATAAAGGGAGAATAGGACTTGGCTACAATTGCAAATTAGATATCTTAGTTTTTTATTGCCTACTTCTCGAATGCTACTTTCCATTTTTGTTTACACTTAAAACAGATAGACTGTACATTTCTGAAGCTATTATATCTAACATTATTCAGTTTTGAATTACTCCAGACACATGACTGGTTTAGCCAGAAGAATAAAAAAAGTTTTGGTTTAGCTAAAAGAAAAGATTGAGCAATCCTTGTGGTATCAGAAATCTCAATCTTAGGAATTGAGGGGAAAAGAATTGAAGAATGACTACCAGAAGCTTCTGTAAAACCTAGTAAAAGTTATTATTGATGAAATTAAATTTCCTTGAAACTCAAGTTTTATTTGCTTCCAAGTGGGATCATGCGGGGATTTTTCCCTTGTACTGAAGTTTCAACTACTGTATAACTTTAACAAGCTTTTGTGCCTTTCATGTTTAAACTATGAACTACAGGAACTGAACATTTGCTTCAGCGTTTGAAGATTTCAATAATATGCATTTCGACTTCTACTCGCCGACCTATGTTAAGAAGAGTTCTATTAACTTCTCCCTTGGTATTTTCAGGACCAATGTAATCCCGTTATGACAGCATACAAACTGGTTACAATAGATGTTCCATACTGGGGCTTTGGAGGAAAATTGGAGCAAGCTTTGATGGCGGTATGCATCTTAAATTCTCCTCTAAAGATTCAAACTTAGAAGTCTTATCAGGTACATTTTCAGATTGAAATGATACCAAGGCTTCAAAACTAAAGTCATAATTTGGACTGCGTCATCTTTATGGTTTTGGTGGAACCGATTCCATCAATACTGACTGACTTTTTGAGTTAGTGACAAGTAAATTTGTATACTGTGGCATATTGATCTGTATTCTGCATTATCTGTTGAATAGCAATTATAATATCCTGTGTGCTTGGAACAATGTGAGTGCACTAGCAAGTAGTTATGCTAGTCCTAGCTATTAGAATATATGGTAAAGCTGCTTTCTCTTAGAAACTGAAACATTCACTGACTGTCGATATACTGAGCTTCATATTACCGGATATACTGAGCTTCATATTACCGAGATAGATTGAGGGAGGTTAGAGAACACATTGAGATTAGAAAAAGCTCATCTAGTTTCTTTCAAGGGACTTGCATCCTCAGCACAAACTTTCTTAAAATGAGATCTTGGTGCATTCAATCTTTGTTTGTGGCAGATCACAAAAAGTATTTGCCCAATTTTCAGATGTCACTAAATTTGACTGTTTAGATATCTGAGATAGTGTCATCAAGCAGATTGACGGAGTACCATTGCTGTAAGGGTTGAACTGAATTTGCTTCCTAACTGCTTCCTAGTGGGTTGCTCTAGTGGTGAGCATCCTCCACTTTCAACCAAGAGGTTGTGAGTTCGAGTCACCCCAAGAGCAAGGTGGGGAGTTCTTGGAGGGAGGGAGCCGAGGGTCTATCGGAAACAGCCTCTCTACCCTAGGGTAGAGGTAAGGTCTGCGTACAAACTACCCTCCCCAGACCCCACTAGTGGGATTATACTGGGTTGTTGTTGTTGTTGTTGTTGTTGTAATTTTGGGAGATTTTGAAGCTTCTTCGATTACGATCCCTGTCCTCTCAACCATCATGAAGATCAATATTATGCTGTTCTTCTCTTCTTTCTCTACGTAACCTTCATATAACTTTTTTTCAGGGGGAAAGGGCTCTTTTCCTGGAAAGTCATCGTAATTGCTTTGCCTGGATTGATGAATGGTTTGGGTTGACGACAGAGATGATGCATGAGTTAGAGCGAGAAAGTGATTATTCGTTGAATATGGTAAAAGTGGATTTTTTATATTTCTTGAGAATTTTTCAGTTTCTACTCCACATTGAGATAGCAAGTTATTATGTGTTTTTAAAGCCAGAAGCTTAATTTCAAGCTTTCCTAATGAGATATATCCTTGAATGCCAGTTTTGCTTTTACATTTTATCAATCAAGCTATGCAAATGCACAGGGTATAAGTTTTAACAACATGCATTAGTTTAAAGCTCATAAATGTAAGTATAAACTGTGTAGTACTTGGTAATTGAACTACGGTTCAGAATCAAATAACTATAAACTCTATGCTCCAAATGAAATGTGGATTGCAAAGCCAAAAGATACTTGAGAATGTAAGCCATGTCTTTCTGTAACATGATAAAGGACATAGTCTACACAAGAATATATTCACTTCCTGAACAGTATGCTTAGCATATTTTATAGTACTGACATTACTCACAATTCTGTTAGTCATATTTGTTGTACAATATTTTTTTCTCTAATATAGAAAATGTACCATCATGACTGTACAAGGCTTTTTGATCCATGATGTATCGATGATTACGATACTTTCGGATGAATGTGCATTGTCATTAATGATTTGATATACTTATGAATCTAACAACTAAAACCATCTTTTTGACAGAAACTTGGCCGGCCTTGTTCAGCTGAGAGGAGTTGGATAACACCAGAAGAATCTTCAATTGGAGGCGAAAAGTCTGTGGCATGAATTTTCCATCCACATCCTGCACAATTCGCAGTCTTTGGTACAGTTCGTCTCATAATTGGGCTTAAACATAAACAATAAGAAGATTACAGGCATACTTATTAAGGTTTTAGGATGAAGTTCCCGGTGATCGATATGTATAATGTCAGCTTGTTCTTGGCCTAAATGCAGGGACTCTGATAATATTTTTTAACAACCAGCCAAGTCTTGTTTTCTAAATATTCATTCTTTACGGGGGTGGATTATTGATGAAGTTGTGGAAATTGGAAACTGTTGTGAATATAATAAGCCTCCTATTCTATATATACATAGTGTAAACTGTATATTATGTAATCTAGAAGAATTTAGTTCGACTTCTGGTTTATGTATCTTTTGACATTCTGTAATCATGCTTCATTTTAGTATTTGTAAGTATTTTTCATAGGCGGGTGGACATCAAGGCGTCCTTTAGTTTCAATATACAAGATGCACCTTGGATTTAGATGAGATTTACAGTAGCTTGTGATTGTTTGGTTTCAATACAAAATGTACACCGGAATCAAAATTTCAACCAAAACATTAGATAAAATAATCTCACGTTTTATTTTGATACCGAACAACCCTTGAGATTACAATGAAGAGGATGACTTACCCAAAGAATGGTGTATAACTCAAGTGTGGGATTGGTAATGTGGTGTTTTATCTCCTGATTCTTGCATAAGCAATAAAACCAGATAGTTATAACGAAAACTAAATGTCAGACTTTAATACGAATACTTATGCAGTTTTGGAGTTATTTACTTAAAATGATCATCTAAGCTATTGAAATAACGTAGTCGAGTCACCAGATATCACTTATAGGATTACACCGGTGGTGTTGGTGTTGAGTCACCAATTAAGGTTGTGGTTTGTTGGTGTTGTTGAGTCACCAATAAAGGTTACGGTGGAGTGTTACGTACTCTTTGTCCTTAACCAAAAGTTTCGGGTTTGAGCCTCGTTTTTGTTAGAAGGCATTGTATCTCCTAATATGAGATTACCGGCGCGAATCTGAATTTAGTTGAGACCCAATATAAGTACCGGACATTGAAAAAAAAACATAGTCTAAGTTACTTCTGAACTCTAGGATTTTTTTCTGGAATTTGAATTTTGAATGGTGGCAGTACAAACTCTAGTAGTAATTTTTTATTTCGTGTTTTAGCTAAGACAATTGTTTAAATTTTATTTCTATATTAAAAAGCCATTCAAGTTTGAAATGATGGCGAAATAGGGGTTAGTCCATAGACCATAGGTGCCCCATCTCCCAACCAAATCCCCGACAACGTCGACGACTGATCCACGGCTGACTGCTGATCCTCTTCCCAATCTTGCCCAGCATTTCCTCCAATCTTTTGCGGTTCGTTCTTAAACCCTATAACTCTCTCATTTCTCACCATGTTCGTTAATTTCGAGGTACTTTTCAATTATCTGAGCGAATGAAGTATCCACTCTCTTGCTCTTATAGCTTAATTGGGGAGAATGGCTTCATTTTTATGCTCAATTCTTGCGTTTTATGTCCAGAAAAAAACATTCTTTTCTTTTTCTTTTTGGGGTTTTGAAGGGGAAAAGGGAGAAATTTTGAATTTGAATTGTTTCCACGATAGCGGCAACAGCTTCCGTCTTCGTTTTGTTATTCTCGCCAATATTGCTGTATTTGTAAATAATAATTCTGCAAAATATAAGTTAGCATAATGAAACAATAATTAATTCGAGCCCACTGAATTCACAGTGTTTCCTTAAGGAATTTAATCCCCTCCTAGTACCCAAGGTTATGGATTATTTCCTCCCAGGATAGAACGAATAACACACTGGTGTAGCGGTACTTCAAACCCCCAGTGTTTCAGCGAACACAAAGTTTGGTAGCAAATCACACTTACAGTTGCTTTGTTTGAAGTTAAAAACAATGCAGAACGAAGGAGTATATACTCAGAAAATCGTATGGAAATGCTGAGAGGAAGGAGTGTAATGTATAGCCAATTTGTTGAGCGAATTGTATGTTGTGTGTTGAGTGTCGTTCTTCAACATCTGCTGCACATATATATAGCAGCAAAATGTTGAAGAAGACCAAACGTCCACCCTCCATGGTGGAGCAAGCATTACATATTTGTGGAGCAAGCACTTCATGTTTGTGGAGCAAGCACCTTCATGTTTATGGAGCAAGCACCTTTATGGTGGGAAGAGCATTAGGCGGATGCCAAATGGTCAATACACGGATTGGAAAATATTCGTTACAAATGCGGATAATCTTACGTTAA